GGGGATGGAGCCCCGTTCGCCGTGAACAGCGGGAGCTTCGACTGCAGAAAGGTAAGTGGATTTTCGGAGGAATTTTGGGGCAAGGTAGAATGGACGATAGATTGGCTCCTTATGGGGAGCGTAAACGAAGTTAGTGAGGCCCTGGAGGAGGTCCAGGCGCGAGTGATGGAAGGAGTGGTGGCCACCCGGAGTGCCACCACAGAAGTAGAAGACTGCTTCCAGTTCTGGGAGGCTGTAGAAGCTGCCTGGCAAGGAAAGCAGCGTGAGGCCGCTAAGGTCCTGCTGGACTTGCAACAGGCCAGAACAGGAGGAGCACTGGGGAGAATCAGTGGCGAGCTGGCTGCTGTGGCCCAGCAGTTCGCCGTAGAATCCGCGTCACAGCTGTGGAGGAAGCTGAATGACGCGCAGAAGTGGAAGGCGACAGGCTATAAGTCGCCCAAAGTGGTGGCGCGCTTGCTTCGTGAGAGCAGCGCGGCCGAGGCTAAGGCGCAAGCTCGGGTAGACGAGCTGCAAAAAGCCTGGCGGGGAACCCAGCAAGAGGTAAAGAAGCTGAAAGAGGTAAATAACCAGCTTCAATTGCAGGTTGAGAAATTGCTGGGAGAAGACCCCGAAGAAGACAACGATACAGGCGCCGTTCAGCCAAAGACAGGTGAGAGAGCTTTTAGCAGTGGGGAAAGGCTGCATTTGGCTAACAGTATTGAGCTGCAGGACGAAACAGGGAGGAACCGACAACAGCCAAAGAGAAGCAGCTCGAACAACTGGCGTCCAGTCGTATTGGAACGACAGGCTCAACAAGCACGTCAATAGCGTGAGTCATTGCTTTCGAGTGACATGCCTTTAGGCGCCAGTGGTAGCGACATAGCTCAACAAAGCAGTGCCGAGGGTGTAAGCGCTGCATTTGAGCAACTCCTGCTGCGGTATACGCAGCGGATGCAGACACAGCTTCCGGCCCTGGGGAAGCTCTCTGGGAGGGGGAACAGGACTGAGGCCAGATTCCAAGATTTCATCGAGGAATCCAGTCTCCGTTACGGGTACGAATCGGATGGGACGAAAGTACGTTACTTGCGGTTCTACTTAACAGGATTAGCGCTGGATGCATTCCTGGGGATCCCCGTACACATCCGAGATGAGGGGACTTTCGCAGAAGTAGTATCTGCATTAAAAAAGGCGCTGGTAGATATGCCCCGAGTCACCAGGTTGATGCTGCAGAATGAGTTAAATAAAATAGATTGGCGTAATGGAGAGCTTCTGGTAGAATTCTTTGCCCTGGTAGATAAGAAAGTAGCGGCTGCGTACCCGAGTACCATGTACGTAGACCCAAACGTGATGGATGAAAAGAAATGTGATGTAGTTATAT